TACCAGAACTCGAGTTTTCCCTCTTCAATCCGTTGGCGAAGTATATCATTTTCCTTGCTCAGATCGCGGCAAATCCTGCTGCGCTGCTCTTGAGGGTATGACGACAAAATAAAATCGAGATCTGACTCGTTAAGCACTACATCCAGCGGCGAGGATGGTACATAGAGTGGACAAGGATCTGCATCTGCGCAGTGTTCTGCGAGTTGAGTTTAATCAGTATTCAGATAGTCAAATCTGCGAGATATGCTTACTATCTCTTAAACAAAGAGTGAGTGTGCGAAGAAGAGAGACACATTGTATGTGATCTCCAGGTTCATGATCTGTGTTGTCCGCATTTCTCTCCAATTGCCAATCGTCTCTGATCATGCATCTGCGCCACACAAGCTTCTGCAGAGGGACATGGTAGAGCGGACCCTCCTGGGTGGAAGAGTTCAATCGAATGACCCGCAAAGCCAGGTAGAATTCCTTGCCAACGAATTCATTCTGGGTCTCCTCCGAAACCTGGCCGCCATCGATCAGTGTCAACAAATCGACCAGCTGGTCAACCCTGAGGATTTGCCTGCTGATCACTTTAGTGATCAAGACAGATAGTACTTCGTGGAGCGATGGGGTGTCATTCACAAATCTTCCGAACTGGTCAATTGCTAGTTCAGTTTCGGCCTTTCGATCAATCGCGCCCTGCAAAGCTGGCATCATATAAGCATAGACAACTTCTTGGACAGCATCTAATTCAGCCAAGTCCTCTAGACGTTTTATCTCATTACCAAGGATGGGCTTGCCAGTTGCACTGCTTTCTTCCCAGGCTGCTAGCGTAGCAAGTTTTGACAAGGACAGCTCAACGCGATGACACCACAGATCTGATTCACGCTCAAGAGCCAAGGTCTCCAACGATCGAGCAGCCGCTTCATAGTTGTCCTCACCGATCGCATCGTTAATCCAGCAGAGTCGAGCGTAGGTCGGATTTTTATGCAAAAAGCGGTTGATGAAAGGTTGGAACCTTCTCATCGTGAACAGAATCTCTGATTGGCCCATCGATATTTGGCGAGTGAAGAAGGCATCAGCCCAGGGTTCGCCGAACTTCTCGAAGTACGTTGAGATTCTCCTACCGAGCTGTTCTGATTCATAGTTGGTGACATTTCCGGCATGTTCCGAGTCCGCCAATGTCTGATCCTGAAGCTCGATAATGAGTTCTACCAAAGCACTCATGTCCCGGAATTTCTCCGCCAGAGAAAGTGCGTCTTCTAGCTGCCCAATGCCAGCCAACTTGAATAGCTGCCACCTGCGCTGCTTGGTATGTGTTTGCTCGAGTTCAATGCCCTCATCGACTGATTTGGGATCATCCTGTGAGGAAAGCCACCTGACTCTTTCGTAATGCATTAAACTGAGCACACGGAGTTGGCGGGCGCTGTTTTCCGCAATTTGCCGGACGAACTTCTGCTCCCGTAGATCCAAAGAAGCCGTTGTTTGTTGGGTCCATGCCCTACACGTATCGAGTTCTAGATCCAAAAGATGTCCCGTTTCAAGATAAACGATACCCTGAGACGTCCAGAATTCAGAGAGACCATCGTAGCCAGACGACAACACGCCATCCTCTATGTGCTCGTCTTCAAGCCCGTACTGACGAGCGTGCTCATCACGAAACCGAAAAGCTGTCTCCAAGACGGCCAAGGAAAGCTCACTGGCTTGCACGATTTCTTCTAATACCTTCCGCCCCTGCTTCGTAGGAATCCCCTTCTGAAGTTTGAGCGCCTTGAAGATCCAGGGAATAATATGTTCCATTCGAAACGTGTCAAAAAGAAACCAGTCGCGCACATTATCTTTGTCCTCTTGATACTCAGATTTTGTTTTGAATTTTGCATTCATCGACCCAATCACATGAGCCAAAAACGTATTTCCTTGGCCCATTGCCCGCCTCGCCTTATCCTCAAGCTTCCACAGGGCCCTTTGTGCAGCAAGTTTCTCTGCACCCCACAGTAGCTCGTACCAGGTTTGACGACGCAAAGGTTTCTTATGCTGCAGTAACAGACTTGCAAGATCATCTAGAGCTTTTGCTCGTAATCTCAAGTTCTGATCTAGAGTGACCGACGTGGCGGGAATATAATGAGAGGTAGACCGCAGCAATTCTCCGCAAATTTCAAGTGCAGCTTCCTCGATCTCCTGGGAGCTGAAGTCGAAGCCGCCTTTGTCAGTTAGATCGAGTGGGTTGCCTCTCCTCGCGCCGTAGAATACGGCTTGTTCAATTTTGGTTTTAGCTGTGATATGAGCATCTTCAATCTCATTTCCTGCGCTTTGTCGAGGCCTCACTGCGATTCGAATGACGCCAAAATTTCGAACCATGACCAAGCATGCGGAGGAGGATCCTTCACCCGGTTCATCCTCACAGCCGCTGCCCAGTAGCTTGTAGTCAGCTCCGGACCGAAAGGTGATATGGTCATTGAAAGGCGAGGGAAGTCGACCGGAGTCTAGTAAGAGTTGTGAGGTGGGCGAGTCACCATATGAAACCAACGAGAGCAGTAACACCGATTGGCCAATCACAATAAAGGCTGTCTGGCTCACTGTGGCTACATGCAACTTGATGTTGGGCTGCGGTGCGTTAGACAATGTTGGAGAAAAGTTCAAGTCTATGGAAATGGCAGCCAAGACATGAACTTCTTCTGAAAGCAAGAGCTGCACCACAGATATGCATCGACGACCTGTCTCCCGAGAAGGCGCCACAACCAGACAAAGCCGCCACGATTCTGCTCCACTATGCTGTAGATCTTGCGCATTATCTCCGCAGGACAAAAGGGCAAAGTCTAAGATCTTTAGATCTGTATCGCTGGCCGCTTCTGTGTGCTTTCGACCCAAAGAGCGGCAAAGTTCCTGTCTGATATCAAACTGTTTCTTCATTATGCTCCCGTTACTCCAATGAGTGTCCCAGATCTCAAACACTCCCGTCGTTGTGCCAACAATGATGTCCCGCTGCCCTCGTTGGTGCGAACGGGCAGCCTTTACAGCGGCGACATCTTTCCTCCAGCAACCACCACTGAAGACGCTTTTTATGCCATTCAGTAGCCCACTACTGCTGCTTGAATTCCGAAGAAAATTGGCCATCACGGTTGGCCTTCCTTGAGAATCCCTGAAGGTAATGTGAGCGACCCTCCCCGATGAAAACGTGACAATTACACCGGAGGGCTCGCAGTTGATCACATCAGTAACATATTCACCTGGGAGCAAGCCAGATACGTGACCTTGAAGCCCACTTTGTCTTTGTCTTGGTAGCCCAAGGGATCCAGCATGCGATATGGTCTCCCAGTAGATAATTCTTCCTGTATACGGCATAACTACCATTAAGCCTGGTATTTCGCCATTCGCGGACGAAAGGAAAACCCCAAGGGGGGCTGCACCATGAGATTCTCGGCAAGATTCAGGAATTGTAAGTGTAAAGACATCCACTGGGGACGATGCTGATGCGGAGGGAGAATATGGCCAAATTATAGCATGCGATGCTGTCAAGGCCAATGCATAGCCATTCGCTGTCCCGAAAATACCTCGAAAATCTACAGAAACAAATTAATACACTGGCTTAGACGGGCATGTCCATCACTTGCCTGAAGGTAGGCCCTGAATCTGGTCCGGAAAAGCAGGAAGTTGAGAGACCGCGTAGAAATCAGTCTTGGACTTTAAAGATCTTTAGTGTTAATGAAGAACTAGACAACACCCGGCGAGGACAACAAGGGAAGGCCTGAATCTTGTTGCGTTAGACACATGGCAGACTTACAAGCACAACAGCTGCGTTGACCTCGTTTGCTGGTCGCTTCAGTTCATTTAATGATCTCACTGGTAAAGATTTTTGCACGCCAAGTTTCTTCGCAACCGTTGGGTCGGACGCATCTCCGGTGTCAAGTCCTGGATCTTTCGGTAATCTTTTCTTAAAGTCTGACTGAGCCTCCGAGGAACGCCCAGGACTCTCACTCCGCAGCGCAGAACGTTGTCTTTTAGCATCCGGTTGCTTCACAGACTCATCGGAGCTAGTGCGCTGACGTCTTCGTGGGTTGCGCAACGAGGCCACGGAGGAGAGTCCTGCTTTTGGTACGAACATAGTTGCAGGGAGGTTGTCGATGTATCACGACAGAATGATAATTTCTGTTGCTGAATCCGGTACGCGCATCTAGGTGACAATAATGAAGCAGTAAAGTCGATCACGAGAAGTAGGACTGAGAGACAGCAGGGTTGGTGCAACAAGGCCTATCGCTCCTCATATCATATCAAACACAAGCAAAAACAAACTATATGTACTGAGTTTGGTGTACATGCCAAGGGAGATATCAGAAGGCGGTCATGCCCCGTGAGCTCCACATTGGATGTCAAACATATCAAACACGGATAGACATTGAGAAGGAACTCAGTACTCCAAGACTCCAAAGGAAGGACGGAATATAGAAGACATGGATATGCTTCGATGGAACAGTTGCTGTGTCGCATGGTGTGTACATAATAGACGTGTTAAATAATAACCTTGCAAAGGCTATAGAGGTATCAGTCAACTCTTGGTTCTACAGGGGGTGCATTACAAGTTTGGTATCATATATTAATAATATGCAATGATAGTAGTTAAGGCTTTGCAGTTTGCTGCATCTGTTCCTTTTGAGAAAATCAGTATTATGGCGGACGAGGTACCCTACTTCCATGATGGATACCTTGGATAGTAATCAGTGGATGTTCATCGACATAAGTAGTAAATTTACAAGCCTATAGCGGACGTAACTATTTATTGCTAGTACAGTGTACAAACAGAGGTACCATATTATTTGATGTTTTTGCTTGTAATCACATGATTTTGACTTGACTGAAGCCTTAGATAGAGTCTACTGGCGCTCTATCAAGAGTATCTCACCCATCGGACGCTCCTGTGTCATAATACATCTCTAATAGACACCATTCAGGATGCCCACATATTATATCCATTATGTTTGTTCCGAGCCTAAATGATTATCATGTTTTCATATAATCACTAAATCATGTTGCTATTCCTCAGTCTGAGATACACCACTGTCATCCGCTATGTCTGTGGTCGCTCAATCTCGAGGCTGAGCCCCCATCGCCAAAGTATCGCTCTGCACTCTACCACAACAAGATTGCACACAGCTCTATTCTTTCCCGGTTTGTTATACCATCTAATCCCAAAGATCCCTATTCCTGATACTGATATAGGTCCAGGTCATGGCGTACAGCGTGTGGGAATGGCTAACTCCTGGGTTGAGAATTTTCCTAACACGGCCAGACCATTCTTAGAAGAGATGGATGATACTTTGGGATTCAACCTGTCTCGAACTATAGCAAATGGCCCAAATTGCGAGTTAAACAAGACTGAGAATTCCCAACCTGCTATCATGGCGACGTCCATATTAATCCTTCGCATATTGGAGAAGGAATTCGGTTTCGACACGAAATCTCGTGTGAATGTAACACTTGGACATAGCTTGGGCGAGTTCTCTGCTCTGGTAGCTGGTGGCTATCTTAAGTTCAGAGACGCGCTAAGATTGGTTCGCCGTCGGGCGGAGATTATGGCTGAATGCACCCGTCAAGCCTCTAAACAATCCGGAGAAGACTATGGCATGGTAGCTCTGATTTGCGAGCCGGCTCATCTCGAATCTTTACTTTCGGCCATACATGAATTCACAGGTCATCCTTCCCCCGACTTAAAGGACGATTCGAGTCACGGATTACCCACAATTCAACAAGTTATGATTGCCAACATCAACTCCAAAAACCAAATAGTACTAAGTGGGAGCATTCATAGGATTACGACTCTTCTCATCCAGCTTCGCCAATTTGGTGGCCACGACCCACGTGCTGTGAGGTTGAAGAGCGAAAGCCCGTTCCACAATCCCATCATGGCGCCAGCTGCAGGGTATATGAGACATGAATTAGAATACGTCGACATTGAATTCCCCTCACAGCTGCCGTGTATATCAAACGTCTCTGGTCTACCCTTCGAATCAAAGGACGATTTGAAAAGCCTTTTGTCTAGACAATGCGTTGAAACGGTTAAATGGTGGGACAGTATTCGTTATCTTGACCAAGATAGAGGAGTCAAAAGATGGATTGGCATCGGGCCAGGCAAGGTCGGCAGAAATCTGGTCGGCAAAGAAGTTGGTAAAGTTAACACCAAAGGAGGTGGCGTTTGGGCTCTTAGTGATCCCCGAGAGCTGGAGAATGTTTTGATGGCGCTGCAAAACACTGAAATCGACGTCTTAACTCAATGAATCTGCGATTCCCCAATAATATATGTACTTCTCTTTTGTACCGACACAATTGAGCCCTGCCCATTATGTACGAGATTCACTGATATGTCGCCGGACTCTATACACAAAATTTTCATCCAAAATGTAGCCCGGTGCTTTGATGGTCTCAATTCCACACTTTCACGGGCAGTCACAGCGCCATACTCTTTCGACTAGGTTCTAATCTGAAAACAAATAATCTGCAGCTTGAGAGACAAATAACCTGCTCAAGCCACTCTAACGTCTAGGAAGCATCAGGTGCAAGTTTTTGTGGCAATTTTCTTGGCTGGTCTGGATCACTCTGAAGGTGTTCCTTGCTAGAACCAACCAGACTACCTCCTGTAGAGTTGTCTTGCAATTCCAGCTGCGTTTCAAATTGCGCTGTCAAAACGAGATTCATTTCCTACTCAGTACAATCATGAGCTACGCTCAGCGAGTAACCATGTATGATCGGCATGGGCTTCCTGGCCCTGCAAGCAATTGGTGAAGCGCTAGCTCATATTTCTTATGCTGCTCATTCTTCAATGCATCTTGCACGAAGACAGGTATAAGCTTCACTTCCGTAATCCTTCAGACAAGTTGACAAGGTCCAAAAGTTGCCTCAGGGTGAAGTTCGGTCACAATTTCGTCCATGGTTGTGTAAGTCCTGGCCGATCAGGCAGAGCAACGTGAATCAGTCTCACAATCCACGCCTGTCCGCTATGTTTCATACAGAAAAGTCCGTATTTTGTCGGTCCGGGGGGGGGGGGGGGTCGACTTTCTTTCCCTGACCCCGAGGGCCCGTGTACACACTCAGATAGCATCCCTCGCGACCGCCGTCCAGCACGGATGCCCTGAACCTGTCTAGTTCGGCGAGTGTG